CCCCAGGCTGCAGCGCGCGGGCTGGGGAGGGCTCGAGGAGGCCCTTTCGGTAGCTGCAGCGGTGCATGGTCTGGGCAGATGAGCTCCATGCTCCTTCCCACGTTCAGGAGCGGGTGAGGGCGTGTGTGTGTGTTTGCTCCAGGAGTTTTGGCACTAGTTTGGGGGCTGCCAGAGCAGGCAGCTGCCAGTGCTGAATTAGGAAGCTAGTGCTGTAGAGAACAGCATTTCACGAGGGCTGGAAGGGATCACAGGGCAGGTGACGTTCAGCTGCAAGCAAAGCTTTAGCACCGTAAAAACCTTTCTGAAGCTTGAGCAAAAGCTTCAAAGCCAGGAGAATACGAAGAAGCCTTTTGCAAAGAGCGCTGAAGCTGGAAGAAYGCAGCATTTGTGATGGGATCAGAGAGCTTCACTGACAAGGCTGCGGTCGCGTGTGCTTGCAGATGACCCCTTGGGGATGCAGAGGAACATGGAGACCTTCATGGAGTCATGCAGTGGTGACAAAATTAGCTGCTCTGCTGTGCCCACTGCCCTGGAAGGTAAGCGAGCTCATTAAAAAGGCTGACCTTGTCAGCAGCAGAGTAGGCTGGCTGCTTTATTTGTCAGCGAACTCGGGAAAAAAAATCTACACTATCTTTTTCAAAGACAGACAGCTACAGCCCACTCTCTCGCAGATAGTTAAGTGAGAGCCTGCAAAATTTGCACAGACATAAAAAATGTTGATGTAGATTTGGTTTAGTCATAAAGGAAAGCAGGAATTTCAGGAGCGCTCAGACAGCTGCACCCACAGCAGGAAGCGAGCGGGAGCTACCGCTGGGGAGTTGCTGGTCAGGACGTACCCAGCAAGCACCCGCTTCCAGGGAATGAGGCCACTGCATCCGTGGAGCAGGTGTCATCCCTGGAGCTTTGGGTCGTTGCAATAGCCTGATAATTTTGCCCTGTTTATATTGTGGGTTTCTTGCTTTTATTTCCCCCGACGTTATTCTAGAAAGGGAGGCTGACCAGTGGGAACGCGCGTGCGACACGCTGCTCATGTGCATCGTCACCGTGCTGAACCACGGGCTGAGGAACGGAGGCGGCGTCGGGGACATTCTGCGCAAGCCGTCGAAGGACGTGAGTTCGGGCACCACCGCATGTCCTCTTGTTCCCCCGCTCCCTTCTTCCCTGGAGATGCCGACACTTCCAGCTCCATTCCCTCTCAGCAGTCCTTGCTCTCCCCATCTCTGGCCCTGCCGCATCCCTGCTATTCCTCTTCACCTCGCACGCTCAGTGCCTGCCCCTTTTGGAGGGGCTGCAGCAAGGGTGTGGAAGAGCCACAAGTTTATCCCTCATGTCCATTGCAGGAGTCCTTGTTTCCTGCCCGGGTTGTCTATGACCTCCTCTTCTTCTTCATCGTCATTATCATCGTCCTGAACCTCATCTTTGGGGTCATTATTGATACCTTTGCTGACCTGAGGAGCGAGAAGCAGAAGAAGGAAGAGATCCTGAARACCACTTGCTTCATCTGTGGTGAGAGCTGGCCCCTGGGCTCGCGGTGTGCACCGGCCTTCCCTCCCACGGGGCCTCCTGCAGCCAAATCTCCTTTAGGGGTACYGAAGCCTAGGGGAAGGAAGGCGGTTTCAAGTGCTTTTGGTTTTCATGGTGTTTGCAGCAGGAACTTGAATGTGGCCACCAGTGGGTCACTACAGTTTAAGCAAGCTTAAACAAGGACATGAACCGAGAGGGGACCTGTATTACCTGTATTTTAAATTATCTGTATTTTAAATTGCCTTCCATTAATGAGGTGTTAAACCAAAGGCTCTGCATCTGTTGCTCTTGAGGTCCTCACTTATCAAGTAGCAAAAAAAGCACCATATTACTAAGGGAAATAAAATTCAGGACAACATTTCAGGAYGCTCTTGGCTGTAGGCAGGCAGCAAAATCAAAAAGAAAAGCTAGTCTTACGGGGTGTTTTTTTTTTTAAGAGATCCACTGGGTGCCTTTTATGCTTTTAGATGTGTATGCAGGAAACGTAGCTTGTAGCACTTTAAATAGAAGCATCCTGAATATGCAGCTGGGTTATTTTCCCCTTGTTTTGGAGGCTTGTTTTGTGCTAAATGCCAACTAATTATTAAAAGCACTTTTTGAAAGTCACACCTGGGACAGGATGCAATTATCTGTACTTCCTTGCGCATTTGTTTGCTTGTTCAGTGCTCACCTTCTCCTGCTCTCCCCATCTTCTCTTCCTTGATTGCCTCTCCCAGGTCTTGAAAGGGACAAGTTTGACAACAAGACGGTGTCCTTTGAGGAGCATATCAAATACGAGCACAACATGTGGAACTACTTGTACTTCATAGTGCTGGTGCGAGTGAAGAACAAGACGGACTACACGGGGCCGGAGAGTTACGTGGCTCAGATGATAAAGGTACCTGAGCCTGCAGGGACAGGGCAGCGGTCGCCACTGCCACCTGCCCTGCCACAGGGCAGCATTTGAGACCAATGGGCTTGACAAAGGGAGACAAACAGCTCAAGGCAGAACTTTTGGAAAATATTTAATTATGTAGTTGTCCCTTAATGCTTTTCTTACCTGATAGGTTCTACTTTGCAATCGCGGTCAAGAACACATTATCTATTAGATGTTTTGTACAGGATATTTAAGGATTGCACCAAAGGCAAGAACAGTGGTAGAATAGACTAGAGACAAGGCAGGAGGGGAGAGAAAGGAGGTCCAGAAAACACTCTGAACCCAGAGAGTAATAAGAAAAAAACTAGAAAATTAGTGAAATTAGAAAAATTAGAAATTAGAAAATTAGACCATTAGTGAAAAATTTGCCAAGACCCAGACAAGGCAACCTTTTGAGAACTTCGCCTAGTCCCTCAGCACAGCAGGCTTTCAAAAGTCTCCTGTTAAATGCTGCTTGGTCTCTTCCCTTCTCTTCACTCTCTCTCCAACTTCACTTTTTCAGAACAAGAACCTTGACTGGTTCCCCCGGATGCGAGCCATGTCACTGGTTAGCAATGAAGGGGAAGGGGAGCAGAATGAAATCCGAAATCTTCAAGACAAGCTCAACTCCACCATGAAGCTGGTGTCCCACCTCACCTCCCAGCTGAACGAGCTGAAGGAACAGGTACGAAACACCTTTAAAAACAGGGACACTTGAGGAACATCTGCCTGCAGAAAGCTCCTGTACTTACCAAAATAGATCCTGATTCCTGGGAACAGGAGACAGCAGCAGCCCAATCCGGGACCGCTTCGGATACAAAGCAAAGGGCTCTTGAGCTTTTTGAGGTCAGGAACAGTTGGGACATGTGCTTTCTGATAGCTTAATTCCTCATCAGCTAGAGTCTAACTCGTAGGGCTTTCTGGCAGATGCTTGAGGTCACATGTCTGACAAGCACATTGGGGAAGAGAAGGAGGCGGCCTGGTTTCCTACCTCACTTGTGTCCTTGTTTAAACTCCAGATGACAGAGCAAAGGAAGCGGAGACAAAGGATGGGGTTTGTGGATGTCCAGAATACCATGAACCACTAGAACACAGCACAGCCGTCGCCTTCACCCACCAAGGGACTACACGGATCTGTGAGCTAACGAGGGCTGCTGGTTCCTGGGGTCCACACGCGGACACCGCTGTCGGGGAAAGCCACGCGGAGCAGCTTCCGAGTCACCTCTCCCCTTAGGTCGCTTAGGTAAGCACTTGTGCCCAGCAGCAAACAGAAAGCAGGGACTGGCGAGGACACCTTCYGCTGCCTGGACCCACGGCCTGCTCTAACGCCCTTGTAGGAAGATGATTATTCAGGACTTTTATCCCTCATTGCAATAACTCTGCATTTTGCAAGTGTGGGTTCTATCTTTATCTCCATGCACTACGTTCTGGTGGCCTGCACCTTGGATAAGGATACCACTTGTAGCCTAACTAGTGTAGGGGTGCAATATTTAACTTATTCCAAAAGTGTCAGTAGTAACGTGGATCTCTGCAAACCAGCCCTAGTATCTGCCCTACCCACTCCACGCTGATTCTTCTCCATTTAAAGAATTCTGTCCATCACGGGGGTGCAGTAAGGAGGAGCTACACTCAAGGAGGTGCATTAATAACTTAACTCACCAGATGAGGGTGAGCAGCAAAGCTCTTACTGGATGAACTGGTCTTTGGCCTTCTGTGGACAAAGGAGTTTACAGGAGTTCACTGTGAAGGGGTGTCCTGTGTTTTAATTTCATCTCTGGTGTAACGTGATACTTTTTGTTGTTGTTACTTAAGAACTAAATTGTAAATTGCCTTAACTAAGTTAAGTACAAAAGCAAGTTATAATAAAAACGGAAACATGATAAAGAAGGCTCCTTGTGTGCTCTGGTATGCAATGGGGCAATTATTAAAAAAATAAGTAAATAAAAYAAAGGCACAAATGCAGAATAAACCAAGGGCCTGAAGCTGGGCCAACGCTGTATTACTCAAGGTACACTATGGCCCAAAGTTCCAGATGGTAAATGTTAAAATGTCGTATGAAGTTCAAGTCAGAAGGTGAAAAAAAGAATGTTACCATGAAGAAATACCTCGAACACCAGCCTTGTTTCCTGAAGCTTTGGCTTAGAGCCTGCTGCAAAGTTTCAGATTCTTTCACTACTTGCCAGGAAAACACTGTTCAAATACAGAAAAAGGAGCAGCTGTTGGTGCTTCCTGCAGCCAAGCGCAGTCCTGGCATAGCTGTGCTCTAGACGCTCGTCCTCCCCACGCCAAGCAGCTCTGCAACAGTTCAGTGCTCTGCTAACGCTCTCCAGCCCCTGCCTCCCCCGAACAGACATTGATGCAAGCCTTAAAGCTTCACAAAGGAATTAAAAATAGGCCACAGCGCGGATTGAGCACACTTGAACTTTATGGCAGCTCTGTCAGCAACACACGATTAAAGCCTGGCTTTACCTGTCAGCAAATATGCAGCAGCTCTATTTACCTGAGGCCTAGTGTCCCCCACGAGAAAGCAGGGAGGGTGAAAAACCAAGTGTGTAAGGTGTATGTCTGAATAAAATGTTGTTGCCAAGAGGAATGAATGGCTTTATTCATAATAGCAGCACACAGCACTTTAGGAATATATACAGTGGAGAAGCTGGGAGACAGCCTATCACTTTGAGTCCTCTTCAGATTTCTTGGCATAAAACCTTTCTCGCAATTTTTTCCATGTCCCTTTTTTCATTTCCTCCATCTGTTTCAGAATGTCTGCAAAAGGAGAACGGGGAGAGATGGGGAATGAGGAAGAAAACCAGAAAAGCAAAGGAATGAAAGCTCTCTTACCAGAGCTTTGCCTTCCTTACATGCATTTTCCTTTTTGACTTCTCATCTTAATGAATTTCTGTTTCAGTGCTTGAGGCAAATTTGGTTTTGCATCCAATCAATTTTGTGGCGCGTCTCTTATCACTAACAACTAATATTCAGTTTCCACACACTGCAATCAAAGTTAGGAACTGGAGCAGAACAAAACTGCACTAGATTCCTACACTGCACTTAATAAATGACTTGGCTGAGTCTATTTGTGCACAATGGAACCCTGCTCTCTCAAAGCCTAATACAAGAAAAGAAATACTGAAGGGAATTTGAAGAAAACATAATAGAAACAGAGCATTTTTAGAATGATATAATATGCTGCATTTTCTTTCCCATAGTTCCTGATATCCACTCTCAAACAGCCCTTGTATTTTACTAGTCCTTTACTATCTCCAGCCAGTACAAAATACAATCAACTCCTTGTCCTGGTAAGTTAATAATTAAGGACGCCTCAATAATACCTGATTTTATTCCTCTCTAAACAAGCTAATATAGYTGCATGGCAGCCCCGCTCTGCCCTAGCCAGGTGTTTAGCAGGAGTCACGCAGCAAACACCACAAAAGGTGGAATGCACTTTGTCTCCTACAAAGCGTTACTCCCTAATTAAGCAGCGCATCAGTACCTGTTGCTAAGATCATCTTGCAGTCTTCTACGGTCACTCCAGTGAAGGTTGTGTCTTTCAGTCGTGGATACTTCACAAACGAGCAAGGAGTCAAGAGAACGAGAGAGGGAGGGAAAGAGAACTTGACTTACACTGCATTAAAGCAAATTATTCTGTGCTGACATTATTGCATTCAAGCTCATTTTCAGTCAAGCTCTGCAAATTCAGTTCACCCACAGTGAGAACTATCTGTATTGCTCATACATGTTACACAGGCCAAGTTGTCTGCAGCTGCCTAGAAGAAACCAAGAGCACCAGGCAGTGCTTTGTGCAGTTCACCTGTCTGCTATAAATTCCCAGAAAAATCATGGTGGGATGGGGCATCCTAAGCCAATGCCAAAGCTCACCTTGTTTTTGTAGTAGTTGGTGTGGATTCTGACTAAGCTCTCGTACATCTGGTCACAGGCTGCAGGATCAGCAATCTGAAAAGACATGGAAGTATCACACAACTCTTTAAACCTACACAGAGAAAACTGCTCATTTCAACTAAAGAGCTGTGTGAAGGACAGTGAAAGCAACAGCTTAGGTGACTTCTCATACAATGTAGGATGCCGGTGGCCCCTACTATGCTGCTCAAGAATGCAAAGCATGTTCTTTCCCCTCCACTTCTGCCCAGCTTGGCCTACAAGAGTAACGAAGCATGTAATCTTGAGAAGAGTCCTTAAATTCTGCTTGAGAAGATGTGACAGATCAGCTGTGAACACACACTTAATGAGAACAGAGCTGGCCAGCTTTGTTCGCGTGCTCATGGGCCAGGGCTGTGCAAGCTACAAGGTTTCTTTGCTCCATGGCCAGTTTTGCCTCCTCTTTTGTTCTGCAGCATCAAATAGGATAAAGTGCCATGGGATAAGGGTGGAAGGTAGAAAATCCTGATGATGGCTAAAGATAGTTTATAACTGATTATGGAAAAGCAGCATGAAAGACACTGAACACCTTGTGAAGGGTAAATGGATTTCTATTTTGGTCTAGCAAGTTGGAAAGAGTTTGCTAATACATGACCCTCTCCGTGGTGCCCCAACAGGTGCATTGCCCTGCAGAGCCCTCTATTTAGCAGCATCTAGGACGCAGTGGGGTTTTTTTGCCTCCTATTTTAAAAGGGGAGCCAATTGATCAGAACTCTGCATTGCCGTTCGATGACATCAAACATAAATGATTAAATATAGCTGGATACATGAGTAAGAACAGTATCAGGAGTTCGGCAGTCAGGATCAAATGACACAGCTAATCCCGCCTTGAGACAGTGGCCCAGGCTCAGCACAAGGCAGCTGATGTCTCCCCCACGCAAGCAGGGGGAGGTTTTGCTTCCTCAGTGGGAAACGGCTGCTGCAGGAGAGGGAAGATCAGGCCAGGCAGCCTGTCAAAAGGGAGCACCCTCATGCTGCAGGTGATCTTCAGCTTAACACACTCTGCAGTCACATTTCAAATAACCCTGCTGGTGTTTTAGAAATGATAGCAGCAATAGCTATTAAATGGGTAGCAGAAATAGTATTGCCAGAAAAAAAAAAAATCAGCAAATCTTATTGTGTGTGAATAAAAAGACATTAGACTGATAAAGTGTCCTTTATAGTTCTAGCTCTTCTCTTATACATTCCTCCTGCTGTCTGCCAGTACATTTCCTTTTACTGTATTAAGCCTTTATACATACAAATTGACATCAGTGCTGCAGGCATCAATTTAGATTTTCAAGATGAGTGGCAGCTTTGGGATCTTGTAGCCAATTGGTGCAGCATATTTAGCTGTCCTAAGCATATGAAAAAGCAATAAGCACTTTCTGAAATGCCTGCTGCAGATTATTCTGGTGACCAGTATAGAATTAGGTGCCTATAAYAGCGCGTTCAAGTAGAAAACCCACATCTGGAACAGCCTCCAACACTGTTTTTACGGTAGGAAAGGGCCCATTTATATTCCAGACCACTGCATCCGAATCTTTAGAGGACTGCAGCCCAAGTCAAGCATTAACTTTTCCAATTTATTTTAGCACCAAAGTCTGAACTCTGATAAAATTACAATGGTGGCCACAGTCCAGCTTTAAAATTCATTGCATCCTAACGGTGTGGGGCATTTTGCGGCTTCCCTATGTAACCCAGCACTATCACTTGTCATCACAGGACCAGGGCAAGCAGCACATGCTAATAAGCCTGACTACACCACAGCGCTGACAAATTCGCAGAACATCCCACTTGAATCAACACTCTAACAGGGYTCTCAGGCTCATGTGTCGCAAATAGTGCAAAAATTCAGCAGAAAATGAATGCTGTCCCCCCGCTAAGCTGGGGATAAGCTACGCGGTTGGCCAGGGCAATCCTGCCTGGATTTCAAGGGAGAGCAAGACGTTCACGTGAACCCTTCCGACACTCTGAGAAGACCTAAAGGAAACTTTGCAACAGAAAATAGCCCAACTCATAGAGTTACAGAATAGAATCCATAGAATAGATCCAGAGAATCAGTATGGATGTCAAAGCCCTTCAAGATGAAGTCCACCCGACAGACTCTCCACCACGCTGCCTGCTACACCACGTCCCCGAGCRCCTCATCCACGTGTATCCCGGGCAGGGCCAGGGATGGGGACTGCCCCACTTCCCCGTGCGGCTGCTTCCAACGCTGGGCTGCTCTTTCCATGCAGGGTTTTTTCTAACATCTACCATAACAGAGCAGCTAAGGGCCCAGCTTTAACTGCACCGGCTCCAAGGCACGTGAAGCAAGGGCAGGGAATGCCGGAGAAGGCATTTCCCCAAAGGACGCTGCGGATTTCACCGGGAAAAGGTCACCCATGCGAGGCAAAGCGCACCCCGAGCCCTCAGCTCGAGGCTCCCGGGGAGCCGGGGAGCTGCCGCCACTGCCGCGGGGTGCCGCAGGGAGCCGGGGCGCGGCCAGCTCCCCGGGCGGCACCAAGGAGGGAAGCGGGAGCCTCTCGGCGCGGCCGGGGCCGCCTCAGGAGCCGCCGCGGGGGGGGGGGGGCGCAGAAAGGGCGGGAAGCGCCGCGCGCATGCGCCGCTCCGCCGCGCCCGTTAGCGGCCTGGCCGCGCGGCGGGGCGCGGCGCCCACCTGCGTGCTCTCGCCCTCGCGGAAGGCCTGCGCCACGCGCTGCCGCAGCACGGCGCCCAGGTCGCGCTGCCGCTTCGTCTCCTCCACCGGCCACTCCTCGCAGAGCTTCAGGAACCGCCGGTACCTGGTGGCCGCCATGGCGGCCCGCGGGCCTGGCCACGTGACGGCGCGGCGCGGGCGAGCCGCTACGGGAGGCGAGAGGGGCCGCGCGCGGCGCCCTGGCGGATGCGCATGCGCGCGGCGCCTCCTCAGCGCGGGGTGGGGGGGGGGAACAGCGGAGCGCTCCTTGCGGCCGCCCCTCGGGGGGGTTTGGGGCCCGAAACGGGATTTTGGGGCCCGAAACAGCAAAGGGGCCCGTGGGGGCTGCGCAGGGGCTGCCGCGCCCGCCTGCCCCCCGTGCTGGGCCGGCTTGGTGCACGGGTGACCCCCGTGCAGCGCCGTGCCCAGC